TCTGACTTCCTGTTTTATAGTTAGCAGAACCACCAAAAATACTCTGGAAAGAAAGTGGGTGCCACAGTGACAACTAAAACAGCATGCCAGCAAGCAGACCGCCAAATAGTTAGGAGGTCATTCTGGTTTGTGATTTTCGGTCTGTTCCCTTTTTGCTCCCATGACACATGGACACTGGTCATTTCTGCATGCTTCGGCAGTTGCTGATGATTCCCCTGCAATAACCGGCTTCCGTTTTGCTTTTTTGGGACACAACATATGTATTCAGAGACATCTGCAACTAGGCCTACTGCAAAAAATACACAAATGTACTGCCTAAACTTTCATTACGAGAGGTCACAAAATAAAACTAAAATTCTGAATTTAACCCTGAAATGACCCTAAAAGCCTACATGAATGCAAAAATGTTTCAATAATATTCATTTGTTCATTACCAATAAATAAATTCAGTTGAACTAATTATAAATAGAATTTATGTATGTCTATGTGAGAAATGTTTGCACGCATGGATGTACAAAAGAGGCCTATCCAGTGATAAAATCACTTTTTTGAAAAAGCTAAAAAAAAAAGATAATTACAAAAAAAATAAAATAATAATAATATCTATAATCATGTCACAAATCACATTTCTGACAAATACAGTGTCAATGAATTAAATATTACTCTAGACAAAACTTGTCAAAAAATACCAGTCAATATTCTGAGAAATGCATAGAGGTCATTTTGACCCAATATTGTTATTGTAAAACTAAAACTATTTAAAATGTAATTGTTGATTAAAATAAAGTGAAATAAAATAAATATTAATTGAAAAAATTAAAATTAAAATCTTAAATAAAAATGAGAAATATTGCCTTGGCAACTAACTGAAATAAAATAAGAGTACTAACATTTTTAACAGCAAAACTGTAATAAAAACAAGTTAAATAATAAAAAAAAAAAAAATCTAAATGACAAAAGCATGTAACAAAATTAACAAACCTTAAACTAAAATTAAAGGGGTCATATGATGCGATTTCAAGTTTTCCTTTCTCTTTGGGGTGTTACAAGCTGTTCGTGAATAGATAAGATCCCTGAAGTTGCAAAGACTAAAGTCTCAAAACCAAAGAGATATTCTTTATCAAAGTTAAGACTCTGCCACACCCCCCTAAAACGGCTCGTTCTAACACGCCCCCACATATCTAGGTCACTATGTGGGAATATTTGCATAATGCGCCCAAATGTGCACGCAAAGAAAGAAGGAGTGGTTTCAGTAACCGCAGTTAGTGTTGAAGCAGCCATGTCAGAGAGACGCTGTGTGTTTCTAGGCGAAAGCAAAAGCACTTTATTTGGCCTTTCGAAAGTAGATGCATTTAGGAATCTTTAAGATTACTTACAACAGAACAGCAATGCATTTTATGGACGATCGTTTCATGAACCTAGGAGAGGAGGTAATTCTGACTTTGCTATGACAATCTGGCACTTCTGAATCAGCGACTGTAAGTATGTTTATGTGTTTTTTGAACATTAAAGCATGTCAACATATTCTCTTACACCAAATACACAAAAGAATGATCTTTAAAAAACCATCATATGACCCCTTTAAAATGAAAAGCTAATTCAAATTTAATAAGTACTATAAAATTATCTAATTATACTAAAATAACACTGTTTTGACACCCATTAGGAACAGTTGCTAAAAATATTATTTTTATGAACCTATGGCCAGCACATATAATTGACATTGCCGATTTATGTGAGATTTAGGAAGACTACATGGAATATTAAGTAATTAAAGGATTATTGGGGGGAAATATTCCACAAAAACCACACCTGTAGTAATTTTAATCTTTTTTTTTTTTTGCATTCTGGGTTATCTAAAGACTGACATCTCCAACATATAAGAGAAACCAAGCTGACTAGAGTTCTGTTAAAACCACTGTACCAGAATGTAATGCATTTTTTTCCGTCTTGACTAGATTTCGTCATCTGCGATTGAAGCAGAGGAAGTTAAGGGATTTTGCCAGTGAGATGGTGGATCTCTCGAAGGTAATTCAGACATACATCAGACTCGTGTCTAGGTCCGTTTGCCTGAAAAAAGAGGCATTCGCCTAACCCAGACATATAAATGTTCAGTGAAACCATTAAAATCTCTGTAAAAACTACCTTAAGTGTGACAGCATCTTGTGTGATACTTACAGCTGTGAACATAAAAAGAAAAACAAGACCTTGATGTTTCAGAAGCTATATCTCCTAAATATTTTGAGTGAGAAATATGACCAAACTTTGAATGTCTTATGATACTGATATGCTTAATATGGGGGGGGAAATACACTCACGAAAAATGGCCCTTGTCTTCAAACAGATGCAGATGATCATGTGTGATCTGAGTGCAAACTGGAACAGCTCTTACCATGAGCTTGAGCAGCGAATCATCTCTATGGAGCAGAAGCTGGACGATCTGGGACGCTCCTTCCAAATCACCTCTGAGCTGCTCACACAGGCACTACATCGCCGCAGACTGGACCACAGGTAATGCTGTCAAAAGTCTTTATGTGCTTGACCTAATCGAGTAGGTTTATAAAAGTCTGGATCTATTTCTATACAGGTGACCTGTGACATCTCTAATAGGCTAATATAGTCTTCATCTTCTGAGTGTTCTTCAATCAAGCCTCTTGAACTGATGGGGGAACTTTATGATGAACTTCAAAAGGATTAAGAGCAGCAAAAACCATAGCAGACATTGTTTTATTTTGAACAGACGTTCTGTCGTGTGTATTTATGAACGCTTCCTCAATGCTACAAACTTGAACTTATGAAAAGGTTATTTTGGTTATTTTAAACTTTTGACTTCTGATTTTGAGTTTCAGTTTATGATTGATACCGAAACTATGAGATGGAGATTCTGGTGTTACGCTAAGGAGCAAATTTAGATTACTTGTAACTCAATCTCAGTGTGAAAGTCACAGAAGGAACGTGAAACTGAAAAAATGTGAAAAAAAATGATCAGTCTTTCTATAGTTCCTGTTCCTAGATGAGACTGGGGAAGTTAGTCTTAATCAAACTGAAGAAAACACCTTAACTTCAGAAGTTCATCTCAGAATTGGGAAGAATGAATCATTCTGAGCAACTTGATAATAACTTTATGACTCTAATTTGATACACCATTTTTCAGTTATGTGCGTACAACCTGGTAATGACACATTGATGAATGTCTCTGTAACTTGCTGGCAACTTTTTCAAAGGTAAGTCAGATAAATTGTCGTTAGGTGTCAAGGATAAGCCAGACTTCCTCACAGACTATTGCCCTTGTACACGGATATTTTTAGAACGACCTTAATTGAGGCAGAACCACCTGCACCCACAGCACCCTAATAAAAAAATCTGGGAATGACTTGAATTTCCATCAGCCCTTTAACCTGACAGGGCATCTGTTGAATGACGGCATGTGGCGGCTCCAATTACCCCATTAAAAGGTTTTGCGTAGTATGGTATTCAGAATACTGGTGTAACAGAAAAATCTTTATTGCTCAAGCCTGTAAAGTTAAGTTCATTAAGACAGAGGCTGTCAGTCCTCTCTATTATCTCCTCCTGGTGGACAAAAGTATGTGTTGCATGTTTGGCCATCATTCCTCTTAAAGGGGTCATATGATGTTGCTAAAAATAACATTATTTGGTGTATTTGGTGTAATGAAATGCGTTTATGCGGTTTAAGGTCCAAAAAACACATTATTTTCCACACACTGTACATTATTGTTTCTCCTCTATGCCCCGCTTTTCTGAAACGCGTCGATTTTTACAAAGCTCATCGGTCTGAAAAGCGAGGTGTGCTCTGATTGGCCAGCTATCCAGTGCATTGTGATTGGCCGAATACCTCAAGCGTGTGACAGAAATGTTACGCCCCTTAACATACTGTGATGCCCTGTCCGGCTGGAGTGATGAGACAAAACCATTAAAACCCATTATAAACGAGGCATTTGTTGCATCCAGTGGGGACATAATTACGGATTATAATGACTTATACTGTCTTTTTACATGTTGCGTTGCATCGCGCCACGTAAACATAAAACCATGTCTGCATTTGTGATCGGAGAAATGACAAACAACAAGCCCTACTCTACACTGCCCAAAACTCGCGTTTGAATCAGCAGTGGCAAATTCTTTAAATATAAAAAACGTACTTACAGTCTCTGAATCAGAACAGCCGGCATTGTAGTCTACTCTCAGGAAACAGTCCTCCATAAAATGTGCTGCACACATCTGAATATTTGGGTTGAAGTGTTCTGGAACAGCGTTGTAAATACAACTTAACCACTGATTTCTAGTCGTGTCCTCTTTTGGAAGCAAACAAAGTAGTTTCGCTTTCACAACGAAACACAGCGTC